AGCTTAAGATCCAGATCAGTTCGGTCAGGACTCGGACGCAAAAGGAGGACTCGATCCACAACGCTACATAGAGCACAATCGCGGCATGGCACATCGCAGTTCAGCACGGCGCAGCACAGCACAGCCTTCGGCACGGTACATCAAGATCGATACATTCATCATTTCATTTGCCCGTCGCCCAATCAGGCGTCTTTGAAACGTTGCCATGTCTTACATTTCTATATTCCTTTCCGGGTTCGTGGGTCGATCATGTTTTGGACCCTGACCCCGCCGATATGCGTGAGTGGTGGCAATTTTTACCCACCCCAGCAATTCAGACAATACGGTTCCTCCGTGGTCAAAATGCCTGTTTTGGGTCTCCCCCCCCTCGCGCGGTCCATTAACAAGGAACAGCAAGCAGCAAGAAGCAGAACTGTAACAGTGGAAACTGGAAGCTGCAACTGGCACAGGAAACTGCGAAGCTTAGGCCTACAGTCTGGTGGCCCCACAAGGGGGGCGGCGGATTTGCGGTAAATAACGAGGTGGGAGAGGGCTGGCGGAATTATTCCCGGAAAGAGCGGGGGCCCAGGGTTCTCTTTTAGAGGTTTACCCCCGGAATCGATGGCTGTAGGGCCGGCGGAATTATTTTGCAATAAATAACGAGGTCGTTTAGGGCCGGCGGAATTATTTTTGAGGATGTCTCTGGCGAAACGCTTGTTTTGTGTTATAGCTTGTCCTCTCCTGGGGATCAGAATTCAGAGGATCTCTGAAGTGAAATGCTTGTTTTCACGTGCTCAGGTCTTGAGGATGTCTCGAGCGAGACGCTTGGTTTCACACCTCCAGGTTGCCCAGGCAGAGGTCTAGCGCCAGGATTTGTTGAAGATGTCTCGAGCGAGACGCTTGGTTTCACGCGTCCTCGTCGCCCAGGCGGATGTCTAGCATGAGGATGTGTTCACGAAGTCTCGATCGCGATGCTTGTTTGCACGCGCCCAGGTTGCCCAGGCATCTAGAATGAGGATGTATTGAGAACGTTCGAGCGAGACGCTTGGTTTCACGTGTCCAGGTCGCCCAGGCTGATGTCTAATCATGAGGAGGTGTTGAGGATGTCTCGAGCGAGACGTTTGCTTTCACGTGTCCAGGTCGTCCAGGCGGATGTCTAGCATGAGGAGGTGTTGAGAACGTCTCGAGCGAAACGTTTGTTTTCACGTGCCCAGGTGACCCAGGCGGACGTCTCACAGAGGATGTCTCAGGCGAACCATTTGCTTTCACGTGTCCAGGTCGCCCAGGCGGATGTCTAGCATGAGAATGTGTTGAGGATGTGTTGAGAGAAACGTTTGTTCTCACGTGTCCAAGTCGTCCAGGCGGATGTCTAGCATGAGGATTTGGGCAGGATGTCTCGAGCCAAACGCTTGGCCGCAGCACGTTCCGTAACGCGTCCCCTTGGCACGCTCCGCGGTGCGTGCCCATGGCACGTCCCCTGGCACGTTGCTTGGCGCGTCCCTTGGGAAGTAGCTCTGGGGCAGCTACTATGTGCTCAGGCAGCTTGAGTTTAAGATCCAGATCAGTTCGGTCAGGACTCGGATGCAAAGGAGGACTCGATCCACAACGCTATAGAGCACAATCGCGGCATGGCACATCGCACGCAATTCAGCAAGGCGCAGCACAGCACAGCCCTCGGCACGGTACATCAAGATCGATGCTTTCAGCATTGCAGCTCGGCACGTTCCTTGGCACGTTCCGTGGCGAGTCTCCCTGGCACGTCGCGCGGCGCGTCCTCTGGCACGTCCCGTGGCACGTCCATCGGCACCTTCCGCAGCGCGTCCCCTTGGCACGTCCCGCGGTGCGTCCCCATGGCACGTCCCCTGGCACGTCACCTGGCGCGTCCCTTGGGACGGTCCGCGGCGCTCCTGGCATATCCCCCAGTCCATTAGTTCTGGGGCAGCGACTGTGTGTTCAGGCAGCTTAAGCTTAAAATCCAGATCGGTTCGGTCAGGACTTGGATGCAAAGGAGGACTCGATCCACAACGCTGTACAGCACAATCGCGGCATGGCACATCGCAATTCAGCACGGCGCAGCACAGCACAGCTCTCGGCAGGGTACATGGCCGGCCCGTCGGGGGCACTCACGCACACATAGCATTGCCTTATCATGATGCCCCATCGGGGGCGCGTAGGCCTTCACGACGTTCGCCTGCATGAACCGTCTCTTCGACATCCCTGTACCGCCCGACTCCCGCGGGATGGGTGGTTATCCCTTCCCCAGTTGGCTACTGTGCCACTTTCTATTCTTCATCCTGGCTGTCGGATGGTGCTCGTGCCATGGGATCGTGCCGACGCCCGCGGTATGGGTGGTTAATTCCTTCCCCGGTTGGCGCCTTCAGCGTGGAGTCAGAGACTTTGGCGCGCACTACTACTTCGTCGGCACCCCGGGGCGTTGCGTCCTCTATAAATCGCTGGTCGTTGAGTTCTCATCTGTCCCACGGCCGACTTCTTTCTGTTCCTTTCCTTTGGCGAAGTTCTTCTCCTGCATGTCCATCGGCGGATACATGGCCGCCGGGTGTTTGTTTTTGGCCACCGGGGCCTGGCTACACATGACAAGGAATTCACACCCATTTTGGCGTGAACTACGTCATCATGATGTTCAACTGTATCGATACCAATTTCTTCTGTTCTGTATTCTTCTTCGTACGTATGTGGACCCTGGGCCAGAGTCAGCCTGGTTCATATTCAGAAGGGGCTTGGGGAGGCATCCTGGGGCTTCTGGAGGTGACCAACGCGCTTTCACGTTTATTGCGATCTGGGGTGAAAGGGGGCCCACGCGTTTTCACGCTTGCTCCGCTCTTGGGCGAAAGCGGGCCCATGCAATTTCACTTGTGTTGCGCTGTGGGGCGAAAGGCGCCCACGTGAATTCACGCTTGCCTCTTTCTGGGGCGAAGCGGCGAAGAGGACCCACGCGTTTGCACGCTTGCGCCGCTCTGGGGCGAAAGGGTCCCACGTAAGTTCACATTGCCCACGTGCTGCCACGCGTCTTGGCCACCCAGGGGCGGCGGCCTCCCTCCCAAGTGTGAGGGAGGGCACAGAGCAAACTCAACGAATCGGCACTACGTGCATCACCAGTTGGCACGTTTCACCTTGGGGCGTTGGGGACTCACCCTGGGGCTTCTTGGGGGTGACCCACGCGTTTTCATGTTCAGCCCGCGGTGGGGCGAAACGGGACTCACATGATTTCACGTTTGCTCCGCTCTGGGGCGAAATGGGCCCATATAGTGTCACGCTTGCTGCGCTCTGGTGCGAAAGGCGCCCGCGTACATTCACGTTTGTTCCGTTTTGTAGCGAATGGGGCCCACGTGTTTACACGTTCGTTCCGCGTTGGGGCGAAAAGGAGCCACGTGTTTTCTCCTTTGCGCCGTTTTGGGGCGAAACGGACCCACGTGCGTTCACGCTGGCAACTTGTTCTCACGCTTGTTCCGCCCTGGCGCGCAAAGGACCCACGTGTGTTCACGTCTGTTCCACGCCGCCCAGGGGTATCTCTGACATGAGGATTTGTTGAGGGTTTACCCCGCGAGTTGCGGGCCTTTGCGTTCCCAGGCCTCCCAGGCGGATCACCAGCACGAGTATGTGTTGAGGATGTTTGGGGCGAAGCGCTCGCTCTGCAGGATCTGTTGGGGATATCTCGAGAGAGGTCTCCGCCTGCAGCGAACGGCTCCTTCTGCAGGATGTGTTGATGATTTCTCCCGCGAAACGCTGGTATTCCATTGTTTGAGGAGGTGTCGGGCGGAGGCCTTGTCGTTGTCCCGGTGTTTTTCATTTCGGGTCGGATTCGCCCCCCCGATCGGTTCGCCCCGCTTTGGAATTGAATCGGATCTTGAGTTCGAGCTGGTTGACCGCCCCGTATGTTGCTCCCACGCTTGTCGTGGTTGCGCTCGCTTCGCCCCGCTGCGGAACTGAATGTCTCGGGCGATGGTTTCGGAATTGAATGGGATCTTGAGCTCGAGCTGGTCGAGCGCCCCGCGCGTCTCAACTAGAACTAGCCCGAGGTATGCGTTCAGACAGCTTGAGCTTAGGATCCAAGTCAGTTCGGCCACGATTTTGACGCCAAGGACGGCTTGATCCACAATGCAATAGGGCGCGGCACGGTTCAACGCGGTGTGACACGTTGAACATAACACAGCACGGCACAGCACGGCGCAGTACAGCACAGCCCGTGGCACTGTGCATTACGATCGTTATCTTGAGCATTGTAAGTGCCCGTCGCCCAGTTCCGACGTCTTGAAACCGATGCCATGCTTCACGTTTCTACATCCCTTTTCCGGGTTCGTGCGTCGATCACCTTAAAGCTCTAAGCAGGGTGTGGTCCCAGAAATCGTCTTTAATGAGGGGAGATGTTTCAGCCGCTCATGCCGATAAGACGGGTGCGTTCCAACCCTCAGTTTTTACAGCCAGCTTCACCGAACGTTCCAGTCGCCCACGGCGTGAGTTCCAGTCTTGGGCTCCAGCCGCCCAGGATTGCACCTTGGAGCATCTCACATACTGGATGCTCATTTAAACATCACTGGGGGGTTGACAGTCGGGCCTGCCCCATGATTCTCTGATGCCGCGACAGCCCCAGCCAATGCAAGTTGCAGAGTCCACGGCCTCCACGGCTTCAACTCAAGCAGACGAACACAGTTCGTCAAAGTTGGGATCGGTTCCTTATTCATTGATTTGCCGATCGGCGCGGGCCCTCGAATCCCCCCCCCCCTCCCCCCCCCCCATGGAGTGGATTTTGGCTGTTTGGGGCGCCTGCTTCGAGCAGATGGGGTCTCCCCCACAGGACGACGCACTGCTGCAAACAGTGGCATTAAGCAGAGCGCCCAACGTCGAAACGCCGAAAAAGAACGCGCTCACGTTCTCACTCGCAAATTTGTCCACTCAGTGAAGGAAATGCCCGAGGGCTGCCCAGGAAACCATCGGGGCCTTGAAGCCTACCTGGGACGTCCTCCCAGGACGCGCCACCCACCGCTTCGGCTTCGGTCACCGAGGCGCCGCCGCCGTCGGCGCCCCCTGGGGGCTGCGGCCGCGGCGGCTGCTGCGGCGGCCGCGAGCCGCTCTGCTGCCTCGCTCCCTCTATGGTCCCTGCTGGCTGCGCGCTCGTTGCCGTTGGCCAAAGTCGCGTCGGCAGTCGGAGGGCGCCAACCTCGCGCTGGCGCATGCGCCCTCCCACCCCTGTGTGTTCCTCCTGCGTGCCCCTCTGTGGTGCCGCTGCTCTTCTTCCTGTGCGCGCCCTCCCTTTGCGCACCCTCTCTCCGCCTCTATGGCCCTTTCTGCTTGTCCACACCTTTGCTTTCCATTCCCACTCTCCGGGCCACCCACTTCCATCGAGGAGGAGGAAGCGCTGCGGAGGGGTGGGGGGGGCACAGGAAGGAGACAGGGAGTGGCCCCCGGGGCATCGGCGGAAGGAGGTAGGGGACGCGGCGAGGAGCTAGAGGATGAGGGGGGGTGGGATGAGGAAGAGGCAGGACGATGGAGGAGACTCATGGGGGGCAGAAGGAGGGGAGGAAGAGTGCAGGACGATCCAGGAGGAGGAGGAAGAGGAGGAGGACGAGGACGAGGACGACGAGGAGGTGGAGGAGGATGAGGAGGATGAGGAGAGGGAGGAGGAGGAGGAGGAGGAGGAGGAGGAGGAGGAGGAGATGGAGGAGGAGGAGGAGGAGGAGGAGGAGACGAAGAAGGAGGAGGAGGAATCGGAGGGGGAGTTGGAGTTGGCGGAGGCGGAGGCGGATGAGGCGGAGGAGGAGGAGAGAGGAAGAAGAGGAGGAGCAGGAAGAGAAGGAGGAGGAAGGACAGGAGGAGGAGGAGGAGGAAAAAGAGGAGGAGGAGGAAGAGGCCACACACGCCCAGCCCCAGAGCGTGTCGAAGGCCCACCCTTGCAGTTGTGGTTAGCCAATGGAGCTACCGTCCAAGAGGCAGAGTGTGGAGCTCAGAAGTGGCAGATGCCTGGTCATACTTTCCATGAGGTTGCGCGTCTAGACGAGCTGACCCTGAAGGTCCAAAAGCATCTTGTTGCAGTGGCCCTGGACATCGCGTCGAGGGGCCCTAAACTGTATGGCCCCAGCTCGATGAGCGTGCTGTCAAGGTGGAGGAGGCTAAGATGGAGTCGCCCCATCAAGTTCGGCATGATACCAAAAGCATAGAGTGCCTCAGGTGTCTCACTCGCCCGTCAGCTGAACTCAGAATGTGTGGTTGGTTAGCCTCCCCGTGCTCTAAGGCCCCCGCGGGCATCGATCCCTCTCACACGCCAGACTTTTGAATGGGGCCAGCTGTGTAGGGCCGCGGGCACGGGAGCAAATTCGCTCAATTCGGCAAAGTGTGTCGACCTGACAGTTTTGGAACCCGGGGGAAGAAGATGATCAGCGCCCTCAGGGCGGGAAGGTTCCCCCTTGGGTTCACGACCCTGCCTGAACCAGAGCCAGGGTCGCAATCCGATTAGAGTTCGGTCTTGGCATGCCCGATTCTGGGATTCCGCGCTGCAGCCCTGGAAGTAAACGGGGAAGATGAGGATGAGGATGCTGATGATGCTGATGCTGGTGATGATGATGATGATGATGATGATGGTGATACTGATGGTGATGATGATGCTGCTGATGCTGATGCTGATGATGATGATGATGATGATGATGGTGGTGGTGATGATAAGAATGACGGTGATGATGATGATGACGATGATTATGAGCATGTTGATGAGCATGATGATGCTGGTGGTGGTGGCGATGGTGATTGTGATGATGTCGTTGATGATGCTGATGATTTAGATGATGATGCTGATGATGATGATGACGATGGTGATGATGATGATGATGATTATGATGATGATATGATGATCCTGATCATGCTGATGATGATGATACTGCTTATACTGCTGAGGATGATGACGCTAGTGAAGGTGCTCGTGTTGATGGTGATGATGATGCTGATGGTGGTGGTGATGATGATGCTGATTATGATTATGATGATGATGCTGCTCATGCTAGTGCTGGTGATGCTGCTGATGATGATGATGATGATGATGCTGGTGGTGCTGATGGAAGATGATGATGATCGTGATAATGATGCTGCTGACGATGATAATGATGCTGGTGATGATGCTGATGGTGATGCTGCTGATGATGATGATGCTGGTGAGGAGGAAGAGGAGGAGGTAGTGGTCGTGGTGGTGGTTGTGGTGGTGATGATGCTGATGATGGTGGTGTTTGTGGTGATGATGATGGTGACGATGACGATGGGGATGATGATGATGAGCATGATGATAGTGATGATGATTGTGATGTTGGTGATGGTGATGGTGATGCTGACAATGATGATGATGCTGATGATGATGATGATGATCATGATCATGATGATGATGATGCTGCCGATGATGATGATGATGATGATGATGATGATGATGATGATGATGATGATGATCATGATGATGATGATGATGATGATGATGATGATGATGATGGTGATGCTGATGATGTAGATGATGCTGATGACGATCTTGATGCTGGTGAACATTATGATGATGCTGATGATGCTGATCAATATGATGGCCCGTTTTCGAACAATAATCGCTGGGGCGTTGAAGGCCGCGCGGGTTCTCCGAAACCGCCCCAGCTCAAGCCTTTTCTGTGTGCGCCTCAGGTGGCCGAGCCCCCTTCGGGGCCCGCATGCGCGTTGCTGCCCGCGGGGGAGGGCTGATCGCCTTCCACCTCCTCGCCGCCTGGGTGGCGCGGCGGTGGGCGCCGCTTCCTGCGGCGCTGCCCGTGCCGGAGCCGCCGCGGGCGGCACCGGCGCCCGCTCCGCCGGCGCGGAGCTGCCCGGCGGCCGCGCCGCCCGCCCCCGCGCAGGTCTCGGACCTCTGCGCGGAGATCGCCAGGTGCCTGCCGGCGGCCCCGCTCCCGGCCTGGGAGGTCTGCCCCGATCCCTGCCTGGCCTGCCCCAAGCCGGAGGAGGGTGGCTTCAAGTGGGGCATCGAGCTCGGCGTCGGGTTCTTCACCCTCCTGCTCTGGGAGGCCGTCACTACTTGCGGGGCTGCGCTTCGCAGCCAGGTGCGGCGCCTGCTCTCAGGCGCGCGGGCGGCTGGTCCCCCAGCGGTGCCCGCGGCTCTGGAGGACGGCAGCCCGTCCCCTGTCAATAGCGCCCAGGTGGGTCGACGCTTTCCAGGTGGCAAGGGTAGGCTGGTGGCTGCCTGATGAATGTCGGCGATGAGCTGCTGGTCTGCTATGACGTTCCTGGCGTTCCTCTGCTCCATCGCCGCATCGTTGTCCGTGTCAGCCAGGTGCAGCCGATGCACGCCGCCGTGGTCTCGCCCGACTTCGACCTGTTCATTGAGCACTTCACGGACGACAACGACGACATCGCCGCCTGGTATCGATGCGGACCTGGCGGGGCAGTGCCGGCAGGTTTGGGCGGGGTGGCGCTGTACGACTTCCAGCGGCCGCTAACAGCCCAGGAGTTCTTCAACCTCGTCCCGAGGGCCGAGGGTCTCATCCGCGAGCTCGACAGGCAGCTCGCCGCCGCGGCCGGCCCTGGCGCTGCCGGCGCCCACGGAGCGGTGGTCCCGCTTGGGCCCCCGGCCGCAGGCCAGGCCGCCGCGCCCCCGGCTGTCGGTGCTGGAGCGGCCGGCGGTCTGGCTGCGCTCCTGGGCGCTCGCCCCCCTGGTGGTGGCGGAGCTCACGGCCCGCCGGCGGCTGCCGGCGCGCCCGCCCCTGGAGCGGCTGCGCTGGCCGCCCCCCCGCCGGCTGCAGCCCCCGCCGCCGCCGCTGGCGCGGCCCCGGCAGACGGAGCCGCCGGGCACGCCGGGCTCGCTGCTGCGCTGGCGGGGCCCGGCGCCCCTGGGCAAGGCGCTGCCGCTGCGGGGGCCGCGCCGGGCCTCGCCGACGCCAGAGCCGCCGGCAGTGTGGCCGACGACTGCAGGACGCTGGCCGTCGCCTACGACATCAACGGGAAGCGGCACAGGTCCTTCGCAGCGGGCGTCGCCCTCCTGGCTCCGACCATGTGGGGGGACTGGCCCATCCCGGGCCCTCGCGCAGTGCACTGGGTGGCGACCTTCATGCTGGAGAACGGCGGCAGCGCTATGGGCCATCACGCGCAGTGGAAGTCTAACAGACGCCGGGGCCTCGAGGACGTCACGGTCTCGAACCACCTGGAGGACAGCAAGATCTTCGAGGCGGCGCCGTGCTACGACCAGCTGGAGATCAGCAACCTCGCCTGCCTGGAGCTCGTCGGTCGTCAGCTTCAGGCACGCGGGGAGATCCGCCGCGACCTGCTCTTCGGCACGAAGAAGGGCGAGTCAGACGGCCACGACGAGTACTACTGCTTCACGGGGATGGCGTCGACCCGTGGCCTCATGGCGGCGCCGGCGCTCAGCACTTGGATCAGCGAGCAGGTCGCGCACGAGAACGCCGTGGCCAAGGGGCGCATGAAGGCCAGAGAGGAGCGCGCCCTCGCCAAGCCCAAAGGAAGGGCTAAGGGCGGCCAGGAGTGACCCTAGGCCCGCCCGTCGCAGATCAGGCTGCCTGCTGCTCCTTGGCTCCGGGCTGGCAGGCCTTCGACTTTTCAGCCACCTCGGGATGTCTCGCCAGCGCGACGTCTTCCCGCTACCCTTTCTTCATGTTCTTGAAGCTCCTGGCCCCGGCCTGGGCGGCTGCCGCGCCGTCGCCCGCCGCGGCCGCCGCCGTCGCCATTCCCTGCGCTGGGCCAACGACGGCATCGCCTCCCTCAACCAGCTCGCTGGACGCGGTGAGGAGTCGGTCGGCGCGCCGACCGCCGTCCAGCAGCTGAGCCTCCAGCACCTGGAGCACAGCTGCGCCGCCGTGGGCGCCTGCCCGGCCGATCTCCACCCCCGCGGGGGCCTTCGTGAGCTCTGCGGCTCCGCCGTTCTTCACGGCGAAACTTATACCACCGTCGTGCCCTACAACAAGGACCTCGTGTCCTGGCCGGCTGCGGGCGCCACGCCTGTCGACCTGGCCAGCGCGCTCGCCGCCGAGCACCCTTCTTGGTGGAGGGACCTGGCGGCCAAGATGCGACGACCTCCGGCGGCAGCAGCTGCCATT